GGGTTGCGCGCATGTTGAGGGACACACCTTCTGTGCAAAATTACTGTTATTTAAAATGTGTTTATGATTTAACAAATTGATTTTACCATTACAAGACACATATATCAATAGAATAATACCAAAAAAGTAAATAAAAACCCTATTTTAAATATTATAGTTGACATGCAAGTTGGTCACCAAGAAGCTGGGACAAGAGAAAAGGGCAATTTTAGGGGGTGTTCGAGAGCTATTTGATATTTTAAATAATATTTTGAAACCACTTTTTCTACAACTTTATATGCATCTTGTCTCAAGACAAGTATATTTAACACAACAAGTGCATGTCTTAGCTTTTTGGGCATGGATTATTAGATTTTTTATATGGGGGACATGAAATGTCCTCCAATTCTGGAATGACCCAAAAATAAAATGTTACCATTAGTTCTTAATGAAATTGATACGGTTTGACTTTGTATTAGTAAGCCTACTACTAACAATACATTGAAGTACTTTTACTGTGTATTTTTTGAGAAATACTCTGTCAAAGTCCCCTCCTGAGAACAAAATCAAGCCACTTCTTCTAAGTTTGATGAGGGAAACAAATATTTTTTGGGTGATTTAATGGGTGATGTAACATTAATGACAGACATAATATGAGGTCCTTGGCACTTTAGAGGGGTCATTTTGTGATCATGGGGCATCACCCTTACAGCATCAGGACAATATCATATGGAGTCAGATACTGGAAGTGGGCTGGAGGCGTTAACTGGGACTGATGGAAGGATGAGGCTGATGAGACTGAAGAATCTGCGAGGAACGAACTAGCGGCAGAGGAATAATTATATATTAAAAGACAGCAGCATCATAAGAGGGCAACCATGTGACAGAGTGTGTTACTTTGCTGAAGGATATTTGTGACCAGCTATCCATTCCAGGCCAGACTCTAAAGACTTTCCAAGGTGTGAAAATGCTGCTGCCGGAGTACTGACTGGAAGTATTGCTGATATCATGTCGACCATCCTCTTAAAATACTCTGTCCAACAATATCAGTCTCAGGAAGAAATGTTTTTTAACGCTTATTAAAAGAAAAACATGCATTCTTGTACTCAGGAGGGGACATTGACAGAGGATTACTGGAAAAGTACACAATAAGTACTTCATAGTACTTGTGGGGGTAGTTTCAGTAGTACTGAGTCCAACAGGATCAATCTCACGAAGAACTAATGGCAACAAAAAAGAATTCCCTCATCAAAAGGGACTTTGACAGAGTATTTCTCAAAAAATACACAGTAAAAGTACTTCAATGTATTGTTAGTAGTAGGCTTACTAATACAAAGTCAAACCGTATCAATTTCATTAAGAACTAATGGTAACATTTTATTTTTATCATTCATCAAAGATAGCAAAAAACATGCATTATGTACTATGGAGGGGACTCTGACAGAGGATTACTCACAAAGTACACAGTAAAGTACTTCATTTTATTTCTGGTTGCAGTCAACTAGTACCAAGTCCAACAGTGTCAGTTTTATTAAGAACTTGTGGTAAAAAATATTTGTATCACTCATTGAATATAGCAGGAATAAAAATGAAAAGCAGCTGATTGACCGAGTGCAGAATCGCTGTATACAGGGGCGGACTGGGACAACAAATCAGCCCGGGACTCTCGACCGGCCCACTTCGGTACCGCAAGTAAGCGGCCCACCTCGGTGGTGCCGCAAGTAAATACCGCGAGGAAATTGTCGACGGGGGGGAGGGGGGGTGAGCAGTGACTTATCCGACCGGCCCACTTCAGTACCGGCCCATCGGGATTCGTCCCGAACGTCCCCTGGCTGTATATATAGTTTAAATCTCCTTAGTTACAATGTTGTCCATTTTAGACAAAGGCTTATTATATTTACAGCCTCTAATAACATTTATTTTCTGGGCTCAATATGTGTCTTGGCTGTTTTCGTTGTGATCGCTAAATTCACCTTGTTTATAATATTATCACTATAACACTGACCCAGATCGCTGGATTGCGAGAAACACCTGTCATCAGACTGGCAAGGGCTGTTCCATGCTCTGCTCAACCTCCCGTCTTCCCAATGGACTCAGTAGCGCCCCCTGCTGCCGTGTAGCATGTGTGAGTGAGCATGTGTGAGTGTGTATGAGCCAGCCACGGCGGAATATTACTGCCAAAAGTCACGTGAGTGAGTCACGAGACTTTTGGCAGTAATATTCCGCCGTGAGAAGAAAAAGTTTTGTACTTGTAAAAAAAAGTTTTGTAGTTGTAAAACAAAGTGTTGTAGTTGTAAAACAAATGTGTGCACTTGTAAAAAAAAGTTGTGTACTTGTAAAACCTAAGCTGAATTTGTCTCTGAAACATGATTTATTAGAAAAATGTTATGTGTTTGTTTGATAGATACGTTTTTTCTTTGCAAAACTAAATGCATTAGTTTGTAGATGGTGTTTTGTATTTGCAAACCACATTGTGTTTGTTAGTGAATCATGTGGCATTTGTAAAACCTGTTTAGTTTGTTTGTGGAGTTATGGCAGGAAATTAGCTCCATAGTATGCGTTCCCGTGGGGCCGGGGCCTGAAAGGGTTTAGCAAAAATGCAGAGGATCGCTTGAAGGAAGATTTGCATGTTTAATGGGACTTGGAGGGAGAAGGGCTCTTTTCATTTAACATTTTGAATGGGACTTTGTGGGGATTTTTGGATGGGGGGTGCATTTTTGTTCATTTTTTAATGAGTGGGGTTGGGGGGCATGAGTAACATTTAACTCAACATTCCTGCTTTTGTTCTTCAATGAAACAAATAATTGTTCAATAAAATAATTAAAACTTGTTCTGTTCTACTTTTAAAAAAAAATGTAAAAAGCAAAAATCTGTTGAAATGTCATGTTTTTTTGTTTAATTTTGCATCGAATATTTCCAAAATTCCCCAGCTTAACTTTCCATGGAAACTTTCCGGAAACTTTCCGGAAATTTACCGGAAACTTTCCGCCCCTTTGCAACCCTACTCTCATCTATGGACATCGATCGCCTACTGCTATATTTAACCATATATCGAGCCCGCTCGTCGATTTCTAATGATTTAATGTAATTGTTTCCTGTCTGGCCATCGTGATCGGGCTCTTTGAAGATCAGAAAATCCACGGTTTTCTAAAACTTCAGAATTTGTATTGACCGCCATTCAAATGACAGCTTTGTTTTCCCCCAAAAGTGGGCAGAGACGTAATTTTCTCCCGGAAGTGACGCATGTGTTACTCATGTATGCCGTCCGTGGTTTTGACCTTCAGGGCCACCATACATGAGGATCAGGAATATTAATAGACAGCTGAGGATTTCTAAACTGTCTCTTTGTTCCTTTATTCAAAGCTCGTGTTTCTGATGATGCAGATTTCGCAGCTGCTGATGGGCGGCAGAAGCACTTCCTCTTTCAGCTACACAGATCCTGGAGACAGGGAGTGACGCTCATCACAGGTTTGATAGTTTGTGTGCAAAGTCAAAACATGTGCTAGAATTATTTGTTAAACAAAACTCACTGCGTCACTTTTAGCTGGAAACTCATCCAGAAATGACAACTGTGACTGGAAGTCTGTTTCAGAAGGAATATGAAATTGTGTGTGTGTGTGTGTGTGTGTGTGTGTGTGTGTGTGTGTGTGTGTGTGTGTGTGTGTGTGTGTGTGTGTGTGTGTGTGTGTGTGTGTGTGTGTGTGTGTGTGTGTGTGTGTGTGTGTGTGTGTGTGTGTGTGTGTGTGTGTCTTTTAGCTGGAAACTCATCCTTAAATCACAGCTGTGACTGGAAGTCTGTTTCAGAATGAATGTGAAATAAAAACATATTTAGGGGTCAGCAGATGTCTTAAAGTAACAAAAGTGAAAGTACGTATTGTGCAGAGTCATATATATCTTATTATGTATGTATAATATGAAGATAATGTCATTTCTTATGTGTGTTTTGAATTATTTGTTGAATATTTTACTCGATTTTCACACATTTTTGTTTATATTTTACTGATATTATATAACATGTTGTATGGATTGTTTCGCCTGGTTCCTCTCCCTCTAGTTCCTCAGGTGTGTTGCTGGGGTAAACCCTGGAGACCTGATGATTTTAAAGGTGTATTCTGTGTTGTATTTGAGATATATTACCCATAGTATTTAGGATATCTGATCAATATTTATTTAGGGTTAGGGTTATTTTATAGATATTTAACACATTTTAGTTTGATATTATTTAGATGTTTGGATGTGGGTACAGGTGGAGCTCACTTTATTTTTTATTAACATTTGTACTTTGCTTGAGTATTTCTACTTCCTGTTACTTTATAT